TCATAGATATTTATCTATGATATTTCAAAATTTCTCTTTGAACTGTTCTCGATCGTTTCATTTACCAACGAATTTCGCCATTCATTTTTTAATGTTCATTTTCGGCATGATAAGAGGTAAAGAGTGAAAACCAATATTTCTATGCATTTTTTATAACTTTGAAATTTATTTGAATATACACATTTGTTTGCGCATTACGTCCATACAAACGTTTAGGGTTCGGTTGGACAGTGTATCCAATTAATTTATTTATTTTATTACAATAAAGGCATAAACAACGACAACCTGCGGGTCATAGATATTTATCTATGATATTTCAAAATTTCTCTTTGAACTGTTCTCGGTCGTTTCATTTACCAACGAATTTCGCCATTCATTTTTTAATGTTCATTTTCGGCATGATAAGAGATAAAGAGTGAAAACCAATATTTCTATGCATTTTTTATAACTTTGAAATTTATTTGAATATACACATTTGTTTGCGCATTACGTCCATACAAATGTTTAGGGTTCGGTTGGACGGAAGACCTTGCTGTTCCGCCTGTTTGTCAAGAACGGTTTGTGAGGGGCGGCAACTTTTTCCCCACCACCGAGCAATCCATTCATTTTCGCTGACTGCAATACCGGCTGGAACGATGATCATGACCCGAGCGGCTACTCGAAATCTGTAACATTGACAGAGGCGATGATCACGAAATCCTACTCCCGGACTCACCGCTACGATTTAGCGCCATGCTTTTGGTATCGACTAAAACCGGAGCGTTGTACATCTCCCCATTCATCTCTGCCGGAGCGTTTTACATCTCCCCACTCATCTCTGTAATGTCAGACAATGCTAGGTAGTGAGATATATTCATTGCTGTATAGGTTGGGTGAAGAATAGGCATCAATAGGCGTTTAGTGTAGTCATCATTGACAGTTGTGTTGACAGTAATGTTATTATTTAAATATGAGATCTATCCAGGTCTATCAGCATAATGTATTTTACATTTTACATGTATAAAATAACTTAGCAGTGAATATTAGAATATTATTGCACTTTTTAAAGGTCAGTATAACCCTTGTAAAGTAAAAATATTACTGAGCTTAAACACCTGATATACATATAATAAACTTGAGTACGTATTTAATAAAGGGAAATAAACGAGATACATAATCAGCGTGTATATTATAAAATAGATTATCTATGCAGAATTGACTTGCTATGCATAAGCTGAGCAAAACACCCTCTTGAAGATATAGCCTGAGATCGTTTATCATATTGACAAAATGATATTTCAAAGATTTGTGCATTTCATAAGCAATAGAAGAATTGCACAGAAGGCAATTGCCTACAGTGTTAACAAAAGTTCACGTCAGGTATTAATACGATTGCATAGATTAGTATATTTTATAGATCTACAGTATTTAAAAATTTATTTTGTTTATCTGTTAGTTTTGTACTATAGAAAATTGGCCAAAAAGGCTATTCCTGATTTCACAATTTAGTGCTATGAGTATTTGGGGACTCATTAAGAAAGATCCGAATGAAAACACTATAATAACAGCGAAAGAGGTACTTTTAGCAAAAGCAGATGCCTTGTTTGATCAAGGAGAATATAATAAAATTTATGAACTGTTAAATAATTACAGAGTAAGTTCCAGTTCAATGATTACAAATAGTTTATTTACAGGTATTGTAAATAGATTCTGTTTTTTAATATTTGTTTGATATTTTGATTTATAGGATAATAGAGATGTTGAGATTTTGTGGCGATTATCTCGAGCACTTTATAAAATGTCCAAGACAGCCAGCGAAGTCGAAGCCAAGAAAATGATTTACGAAAGTTATGATTTAATTTCAACAGCTCTTAGTATTCAAGAAGACCATTATGCTGTACATAAATGGATGTCTGTTCTTTTGGATAGTAAAAGTAATTATGAAGGCATGAAAGCTAGAATAGGACAATTATACAATGTCAAATCGCATATGTTAGTAAGTATTAAGTCTGCTGAATGTTTATTATTGCTTTTTCTTTCAATATTCTATATGTGATCAAAACTTCACTTAATGTTACAGAGAGCATTGGAATTAAATCCAACGGATGCTACTACTCTGCATATGCTTGGATGTTGGTGTTATCATATAGCTGATCTAGCCTGGTATCAAAGAAAAATTGCAGCAGTTATTTTTGGAGAACCACCATCATGCACATACGAAGAAGCCCTAGAATATTTTGAAAAAGCGGAGAAAGAAGACCCAATGTTCTATATCGATAATCTTTTATTCCTTGGAAAAACATATTTAAAACTGAACAGAAAAGAGGAGGCACTAAAGTACCTGATAATGGCATCTGAATATCCAGTCAAAAATGATTATGATCACAATGCTAAGCAAGAGGCATTAAAACTTCTTGCTAAAATGTAATAAAATTAAATCTACATGGTTCACGGTGAGAATATTACTGAATAACAAGATGTTTTATAGTTTACCTACTTTATTTTTATTTGTTTGAAATATTGTTATAATTGTTTACAAATTAAGCAAACTTTGTTCTTTTACAGAGCTTACGGAACCTTTTATTATCGTATCACTAATATGCTAGACAGTGAGTATAAGGTACAGTATTTTCACGTAAAAATACGATTCCTTACTAGGTCGTTAAATGTTATTTCCTTTTTGGAGGTTCTTGATATATGTGTAACGTGATTTATCTTAGATGGCAGTTAATAATAACTATAAGCGGTGCACTTATAGCAATCACATGGTAGAAGTAAGGCCATAAAAATGGTCCTGAGTATGTTAGGTCACACCTATCAAAAATACGTTGACAGTGCATTTAAAATATTTTTAAGCTAACAATTTAATGATCAATGCCTTCACTTTCTATTGTGCTTTTTTGTTTATTCTGCTTGTGCTCTTGTCTCAATGGTACTGCTCGTACGTTATTTGATCGTTCTTCGTTACGAGGACGCAGACGTACTCATCTACTTGCCTCAACTAAATTTTCTTCAGGTCGCCTTAGATTCGAGAACAGTATATAAAATATTTCAAAATTGAACCAGTCTCGAATAAAAAATTCTTCTGGAGGTACACACATGTTTCCTATTTGTATAAAACAAATACTTCCAACTAATTATTACATTCATACGTGGAATATAGGAAATCACAATGCTAATGGTTTTCCTCATATTTGAAATAAATATATATTCTGTGACTTAGCAATACCTGCTATATGTAATAAATTCGATAGGATAATTACGAAAACCGTAAGTTCAGTAGTTGATACCGATTAAGAATTTCAAGAAAAAAAAATGTTCAATTTATTTGCTGGTTTTGTTGATGTACTTATCATGGAACATACCTTTATTGTCTTTGCTGCTTCACTCACAAACAACTAACTGACGTTAAGACAACCCTTTCTTGTTTTACATAACGAAGGTCTAAACGTAAATGTCCCAAGCATTTATACATAACTAAAAATCCAGCCCCGATTAGTTTTATACAATACGAGCCCCAATAACTTAAGTCATTCCAATAAATCAAGAAATTCGATAAAGCTCTGCGATACGTTCTGAATGACCACTCGGGCCACTGTTCTTTTTCTTATGTCAGTAGCAGAATAAAGGGTAGTAGAGGACTTCGAACGATATCAATTGTTAGCAAACAAAAGGGTTCCCCTTAGAAAAATTGTTCAGTGGTAACAATATTTTGCCAAAGGTAATGAATGGTTTTTCATTGATTTACCACACATTACCATTGACAAAATAAGACATTTGAATTGATATGATCGGCTTCATGTAACGCACTACACTTTACTGTGCGTTAACTCTGAAATGCGTATGCAACCATAGATATCGTGAAAACGGACTGATACTGATGAACAGAGAGTACCATTTAGAAAAGACCATTCATACCACTCTTTCCTTTTAAACCCCTAATGCGAGAAGGGAGGGTTTTCGAAGCAGTAGAAGCAACTAGGAACCTTATGCAGGTAGTAGGAACTTAACTAATTCCCAGTTCCAACTTTTTAACTTTCGGGAGCGTGTACTTTATACTTGTTCAGCCTGTCAGTTTCGATGTGCCACCTTTTTATGAGTTGCAATACATCAAAAACCTCTGAATCCGGAATTGTTATCCAGCAGTCACCGTAAATAATTTTAAATAACTATATTATATCTGCGGTTATTAGTTTCGGTTGTGTTATGAATTATAAAAGGCAGCAAAACAATCTATTTAACTATTTAAGAAATATAAAGTAAGCGTCCGAAACGATGAATTCATAACACAGGGCTAAGGTATATACTGCACAATCCTCTGTAATGAAATATGAGTCATGAAAGAAAATGTCATTGGCACTCGTCGCTTGGGGAAACCTGGGTAAAGTTTTAAACATAAGAGACCAACGTTTGTTTTTTAAAGGGTTATTCATATATGTTAAAAATATTTGAAATAGTTTATAAAATTAATTTTTTTACCAAGTTTATATGAATTTATATTTTATACAGATCTTATATTTCATGAACGATGTTTTAAATATATTATTAAAGAGCACTATTTACGAATAAAGTATATTTAAAATAATGAAAATCAATAAAAAGTTATATAAAGTCTACTCCTATAGTTCAAATTATTCGAATCACGAATGCCAGTAAATATTGAACATTTCTTAACTCAGTAGAAATAGATATATATTACAATAAAAAATAAAAGTTTAAATATTCTTTAAAAAATACAATATATTTTCAATAAACATTCACAAAAAAAAATAATGTACACATTTTTTTCATCACTCAATTATCTGTCTACTTCGTCACAGTCTTCGTCATTCAAGTGCAAAGATTTATTTAACATGAAATGAATCGGAACCCCCATATTATCATTTTCGCCTCTGAGTTGTTCAATCAATTCATCTTCATTGTTTTCGAAATCAAAATTATTCAACACGGGTACATCGGCATTCCTGTAATAAGGATCTAATAATCCTTCATGTTCCTGTTGTGATGGATCCCTCACACGTGATGATTCTTGCCGAAATTGTGGATATTCCGGAAACGTCGGATACTGCAGTTGGAGTGGATTCTCTACAAGAACCGGATACAAGCCTGCTTGTATCATGACTGCTGGTGGCAATGGTGGTGGCATTCTCATGTTATAAGGAGGAACATTTGGTGGACAATGAAAATGATCACGTACTCTTGCATTATTCAGCCCTAGACGTCTACAGATGTGCAATAGGCTTGCAAGAAAACGCAATGGACGTGACGCTGCATCCCAGTGCATTTCCTGATTTTCCATTGGCTCAACGAGTTCTAAATTTGGAAGACGCATTGCGATTATCGATTATTTGAGCGCAGATATCTATAAAAACAACAAATATTTATTCTAGTACAATCAATAATGTTTAATTGATAAATTGATTTCTATGAATTAAATTTTGTATTTAGTTAAGTTTTTTGTATTAGCTTGCTATATACACTTTGGTAGGAGAGCACTTACCAGTTTGCCGAAGCTTGAAAAGTTGATTAGAATATCCAAGTTAACAAAATGTACGAATATTGAACTGAAGAACGAAATTATATTTTGTAATACTTGTAGCCCTTGGTCTGGAAACACCCTGTGAAGAGTGTCTTTGATAATGTTATACCAACTGTCTCGATTGAACTGTGCAGATTGTAGAAAATCAACAGCCTTTTATACCTACTTTATAGCCTATAATATTCGGTCCGTTATAACAACTCTTACTAGGTACATTGTCGTCTGGGAGGTAGTTGACCCAATTATTATCTATATTTATGATTTTAATTACTTCGGTAGAAAAATTTCTTTGAAAATGTCACTGAAACTCTGAAAAATTTTAGTTAAACGCTTTTATCATAACATGATTAAGTAGTTTTCAGAGAAATTCTCTACTTTTCACAATATGCATTTTCTTTGGGGGGGGAATCCTACGTTTTTGACTTTTCAGATACTTTTTAAGAACTTGTGAGAATCATTCTCAAATTCCTTACACATTCCGACAAAAATGACGAATTTTTCTATTTAATGAGAGTGATATTAAAAAAACAATACTTGATTTGATCAAAATATTTTTATTTAAGAAAATATTTGATTAATTTATTCATAATCAATTAATCATTTTCGCAAATATAAACAAATTTCACATGTTTACACAGTGTATTTCCCTATAATCTGAATTAAATTAACACAATTTTCGTATAGGTGAATTTCTTTATATAGTAGCAATTGGAAACTCTTGTAACAATCAGGAATGCGAAAAATCGCAGAAGGGTACGAATAATTAATTGCGCTCCCTTAATCGCATAATTTAAAAATGGCCATTATAGCATGACTTTATCCATTAACTGCGAACATATAAATTTACAGAATTTTAAAATAAACAAAAATAATTTTCATTGTTCCGTACAGATATTTTTTTATACAGCTACTGACCTAATATTCAAAAGTAATTTTTTATTAGTAATATTGCTAATGAATGTATAAAATTGCCGGATTCTTGAATAAAATGAATATCGCTGGTATTGGAATAGATATATGATGTCAAAAACACAAAAGTACTTAATGTAATATAAAATAACAAATAATTTATTAACAAAACATATATACATATTAACAGAAATTGTATATACATTAATATCCATCATCATTGTTCAAAATATTATTTAAATATCGGATGATACTCGACATATCAATATCATCTTTTTTCTCCAAAAATCTCTTTTCATTATCTAATGTTTCTTGTTCTTCTTTAGAAGATTCTTTATCGTCCTCTGAAAACTCTTCTGACGTCTCATCATCTTGCTCCGAATCTTCATATACGAATTCGTATCTCGCTATCTCATTTAGCAGCACCTGTGATTGGAGATACCGCCACATATAAGGCAAACAATCCATGGGATAGACTGCAGGATCGAAGATAATCTTTCTATATAAAAATGATTCTGGCGCACTGACCATTACTGACGTCATCGTGAAGTAAAACAGAAATGATTTCAATAGGATATATCTGTAAACACACAAAAAGTCTCTTAGTATATTGAACAAGAATTATAATAGAATAATTTTAATTAATTGAAACAAATTATTTCAATCAACCAGATAATTTTCATTAATATGACAATTTTTCATTTGCTTTCATATATGTTTTATAAATTTGTGAAGAAAATATATTTACAATGTTCAAGTTGTGGAGCTATAGAGTTTACTGTCAATCTGTTGGTATCCAAGAAGCTGACGGGTGAAGATCGTAATGAGTGCTTGGATAGCCTCTAAGGTGCTGCTGGGCGTAATGCCTAAGTCAGACTGTGCTGGTAACAAAAATCAATCACCTTATATACCTTTTTCATTTGTCAAAATTTTCGAACCTTCGTAACGCTTCACTGGTAGAAATTGACTGGGTTTGGTTTATGACAGCCTGTGGTACACATATATAATGAACATTATTTATGAATGGTACGAATATAATCAGGGGCTTGTATACTACTTATATGGAATATTTAAAGCTAAAGAGGAATCAAAGTACTTGAACAAAAATTAGGTAATCATTATACTTTTTCTGTGTGATAAAATGTCACAAATTAACAATCTGCAATGATCAACAATTTTTCGTTTTGTTATAGGTTCAAAAAAAATAATAGAAAAAAATATATTAAAAGTTTCAGGCATTGTTATGGCATACGTCACATTGTAAGACGCACCACTCCCATTTGATTAGGGATACCCATATGTAATGTCATTTTTTTTTAAAAATTAATGAACAAATCGAAAAAGTGACATTACTTATGGGTACCCCTAATAAATAGCAAGAATTCCGCCATCGGAACCTATATATGTCCAGGCTACTGTAACGATCCCATTTGTCACTATTTGACTCATCCAACATACCAGCCAACAATAACTTCTGCCAATATTACTTGAATCTATCCACTATCAAATTGCAAAGATTCTTCTAAATAAAACCTTTGCGCTCTCATGAATTCTTTATCGCAAAAGGAATTAGAAATGGAAAACTTTCCTACGGGATTATAACACTTTGGGCAATGAATGGTTTGTTGTTCACTTATTACTATAGTTTACCTACAAATAAAATGTATTTTAGAGCCATACTTCAAAGACCTTCAAGAAAGTCCCCTACACCTCACATTTGACTCTTGGATTAACATAGTTATATATTGCTGATATATTTTCCCAAAGCGCCATTGGTAATGGTAATAAATTTACTAAGGAGTGCTTAAACAAAATTATATCTTTGCGGTTGTAATTCTTTTTGGCATTGATATCTTGCCGGGTAGCTATTGGATTTCGAACGCAAAGAATTAATATGCTGCATATCATCACAGCTTGTTAAAATTAATGGAATCAAATAATCATATTTCTTTCTTTTTTTCATGAAATGTACATTTGTACAAATACATTATAAACTGTTATCTACATGATAATCTTCTTAAATTAAATCAATCAATGAAATCATGCAAGGTATATATAATAAAATTTGTGATCCATTATGGATAAGAAATAAATATTGAGAAGGGAAACTTTCCCAAATTCGTTGTTCTACATATATGATGTACACTTTGTACAACTGACTTGTTAGATAGTATAAAAATAACGGAAATCGTTCAGTTGCAATGTAATAAAAAAAGAAAGCATACCATCTGAGTTAACCTGATGATTGTTCACCTGGCCAGTTATTGCACCCTTTGAATGGTCAGACCTTTGTCAAGATACACCATAGAATTCTATTGTACAAAGTGAAGAATCCTTACTGAAAATATAACTACGGTAAGTGCCACAAATAAAAACATAATTCGACCTAAAATTGCAGATGATACAAAAAGACGTCACTGAATAACTTATCGAAGCGACCGTAAGTTTTATGTTAATAATGAAGAATTTCATTTACACTGATTTTTAGTATCCACTTAAATATCTAGACGAATTAAAAATTTTAATTTTGAATACATGTCAGCGTTCATGATTACTTGTCTTGTTAAAATCGATACGATCACGTGTGAAATACTAGCACATCTTTAAAGTTTGTTCTGTTACACAACGCAATGCCTTATAATAAAATTGCATTTTATTTTCTACAATAGAATTCTTGCGAAGGGTTGATTGGCAAATGAATTGATCTTCAGCCTACAAGAAATTCTCTTGTTTTCTTGAATCGGTAGTACCTATAATAAATACTGTAAACTAGGGACCCTTAAATAGCTACCATTACACGGATAACAATAGCCGTAACGAGTTGTATACCTGGCGTATTTCTTGTACGAAGCACATTGGTATATAAGGAGACTGGTTTCCAATATGGACACAGTGATTCCAAAATTTTCGAACAAGTCTGACTCATCGTCCATGAGTAAATACCAACCAAAACGTTACTTCCTGTATTTAAAAATTATTTGTGAAAACTATTTGGTTTTGAGAAGGAAATCAGGCTTTTGTACTCCGTCATAAACTTGTGAGTATAATTCTTGATTCCGTTAAAGACATTCCAAAATAGAAAATTTATTTTGAATCGATATAATTTAATAAGTCAATTAGTTAATTAGTCATTTTATTCTTGCGAAGTTATTTATTAATATAATAAATCTTTACTTTTCTCTGATCCATACAGATACGTATAACAGTAAAAAACTTAGTGCGTGCAATGGCTGCATCATGTCCGAATTTAACGGAAGCAATGCATTATCGTTGGCGACCTCTGCACCCAAACGCTCGTTCAGAACAATTGATGAATAATATTTGTAATTGTGGACTTGCACGTGATCCGTTTGTGGCACGGGAAATCAATTGCCCGCAATGTAATCACCCACGTCACAGAATAAATTCAAACCCTGAATCTTCAGAATTACATACAGCCAATCCAAATTTACAAATAGTGCCAGCACGTCAGCTTCATGAAGATCAGGTACACGTGGACGTTAATCTTAGAAACGTAGAAACTGATTCAGAGCACAACTCTGAAGATGAGACATTCGAAGAATCTGATGACGAGAGGAGACATGAATTTGGTCCAAATAACATTATTTGGGTACTAAATAATATGTTAGATGAGGATGAGAATGAGGAAGAAGTCGAGGAAATTGATAGATAAATTTTTAGTATTAATGTAAAGATTTATATAAAAGCTAGCTTTATAATTATAATCTAAATCTTTTGTAAATAAATTTTTATATAAAAAGTTCGTCTTTATGGTATAACTATGTCATTTAATTATTTTTTTCATTCTTTTAAAAATACTAAAATCGTTGGAAAGAGATTTGTGTTACAGAAGGATAAATGGATACTTTTTGAATTCAGTTTGTGCGTGACGGATTATTAATAAATTTGTATAGCTAGATATACTTGTCTTCTTTACAATATGGTTTATTAGTCGGCGAAGAAAACTTACATCTCTTTACTTCTATGAGTATAATTTATCTGGACTTTTAATAAATAATAATTTACGTAGTACACCTATAAAACACTGGGGAGGTGAGAGTGAGAGAAAGTATTTGAAATATCGTCACCGATAATAATCAATGCCTAATCACTAATCACTAACCTTAAACGGATATGTCATTAAAATCATTACATTATTACTGTACAGTCTAATGTCATGTTAATCTACGGTCACAGATTAAAGTGTCTTCATTTTTAAAATACATAGCCGTACGGTACATCGAATAGTTAAAATATTAGAATCAATCGTACAGATGTTTACGACAATGATTCGCAACGGACCGATAAATTTTTATAAAATTATAATTAACGCATGTAACATTGAAAGATGCAATGGAAGTATCGCACAAAGATCAACTTGCACTGAATATCATATAATGTAATTGTTTGCGAAACATATCAAGTCGTGAAAAATCTCATTAATTTTGTTTTGAGCGCGAATTTTAATGTCACCTAAAACATCGAATACGCATTAGAAATCAAACTTTCTTTGTCATTTTTTCATTATTTTTGAACACCTGACGCATAGTGTTCATAATGACAAAGAAAAATGGTCAAAGTCGGTGTTAATCGTGCCTTCTTCGTGAGCAGTACGAAAAAACGAGGGTACTATATTTTTAATAATTTTCCATTCGTAAATGTCACGTATTACTAATCAATTGTAACCTTCGGCTTATGCTAACGTTTTTACTTGCACGTGTATTCTTCCGAGCGTTCAGTACAAATGTCACAGGAGACATTACAGCACCAGTGAAATTTACATCTGCACTGCCACGTTCTTGTAAATTGATGGGTGTTGTATCCCCTGCCACAACACATGAGATCGCATCCGTCTGTTCCTTAATAAAGAAAAAAAATTTCAAAAGCGTATTAATTACCGTTTCCCTCATAAAATGAATGATGAAAACATTACAGAACATTAGATCACATCGATCATTCACTTTCTCTCAAGCTTACCTCTGCTAGTACGATTGCAAGATCTTCCCTGCGTGCCAAGGCTGCCCTGAGCCAAATCGGGCTCGCAGTAATTGGGAGAGGGTTGTAGAAAAACCAGTTCGCTCCTTTTGGGGATCCTCTTCTGGACCATTCCTGGTCCACCACTGACCTTGGTCCTTTTCAGAACCAAGTGCGGCCTTCTAGGCTTACTCGACTTCTTCGAAGGTCTTCGATCACTTCGCGATTTCGTTGGCTCGTTAGTTTTACCCTGAGTCTTTGCGTCATTTCCTAAAATTGGCATGACCTCCGCGGACGAGGAGTGTACCAGCATCTCTGAGCTCTGTTACGAGAAGAACAGAATTATCCAGTGCATGATAATATATTAAACCAGTAGATCGTCATTAGACGAGAAATTTGTCTTGACGTTTGCAATATGACGATCCGAGAAGTCAGGAAATTGCGCCATAGTTAATTACAGCGAAAGGAGAAGAGCTAGAACGTCGCCTTGCATGCAATACTTGATGAGTTCCGAGTACTCTAGCGATATTCACAAAAAGATTCACAGCACGCTCTCGTTCCATAAGGAACCTTATATACACGTACAGATAGGTAGGTAGGTACGCGGATACATTGCGAAAGGGAAATTTGCAATGGCAGAATGATAAACTGTCGTCACCTGGACCGTAGGTGGAGGAGGCGGCGTAATGGCTATAATCGGCCTTGCCCTGTAGTATTTTTTCATAAGTGCATCGCCAATTTGACGAAAACTTGGCAGGGTTCGCCAGCAGGTCTTGACTGTGCAGGAACCAGAAACTCCATGACACTTGCACTCAGTGTGAAGTAAGGCTTTGACGATCTATAACCCAAGAAAAGTTCATGTATTATTTTTCAGTTTTAAAGGAACCTTAAGTCTAAGCACTTAGTACTTAATCCAGATGTCATAATATGGAACCACTAAAATTAAGGTAGTTATTCGTATCTATAACGGTGGGCCATTCAATTTTTATTGCTAGGTATAATAAAATTCATCAGCAGAAGCTACAGGACTTTCCCCAATTAAAAAGGGCCACTGTATACCTGGCCAAACTTAATTAGTTCCATAGTCATTTCCCGTGAACACCCGTTAGATTTATTCCTATACGTATTTATCGGTTCCTTCGTCTTCTTGTTTACCTGACTCTCTAAAATCCAATACCACCCAATCCCATGCCAATAACCACTTCAAACCAGTGACGTACGTCCGGCAATCAACTAACGGCAGAGACGATACCGGCGACATTGTCTCGGAGCAATGATTGGCTCTTGGTTATTGGACAATAAATCAGTATTGATAGCGTCTGCATGTTCTCAGACGTGACTGAGTAAGAGATATACCGCCGAGGAGTACACATAACCTCATTATTAATATTACTATCTTGTTAGGTTACAGCTTGCTTTTACGCCTTCGTTATACGGATGTGCGCGTAGCTTTAGTCGGACGAATATCTACATGTCGATTTGTTTATTAGGGTTCATTGTAATTTAAACAAATGCACTGCACTGCTCATGCAAGTACCCGCAATGAAATATTACGCTGATCTTGATGATCGAGCATTATTAAAGAACCTGTCGAGCATATTCATAGGTGGCAGCAGTATCGTTACCTGTTATTAGCGAAAGATATCGATTTACATTATCATTAAAGGAACTAACGTAAGTCCACACTGGGTAATCTGTATCGATAATTCACAACTAAAATGTAGATTCTAGACTGACTGTTATAATTGTGAGTCTATCTTAACCAAAGTGAAATTATTCCACTCAAGATCATTTATCGAATATTACCTTTCTGCCAGCTTTATTGTTGTGAAGATTCATCAGGCTTCGCGCGTCACCCTCGATTTCCCTTGCATCCAGAAACCTACGCGCGAACCTAACATTAAAAAGTGTACCGTTAAAATGTATTTGAGGTTAGGTAATTTTGCCAAAGTTGCTGAAATATTCATTTATTCTTACAACGCATAGTTTCTTGATGATAAAATAAATTGATGATTTTACTATGAAATACGATACAAAATGAAGACGAGTATGATAATAAAACGCAAACTATTGAATGCTGAAACTAATTACCTCATCCCATAGGTGACGTCAGCGCTGCAGCCTCCCCATTCCCAGCCATTAGGAGGAACATCCTTTCTCGTTCTGAAACATCATCGAGAGGTAATGAAATTTTAATCACTAAAATCTCATATAAAATTCTATAAGAAAATAGAATAATTTACCTCACAGCAGGTTCGCAACCGCAAGCAGTGATATTTCCACGACTGCAAGCTGCTGTAACAGCATACGTAACACCGGCGGAGCTTATGGCATATGTGAAAGCAGCCTCCCTACTTCCTGAAACGAAGAAACCAAAAATTTTATTTATATCCTTCCGATCATTATTAATAATATTTGCAATCAATGAAATATCCTTCTTCCCTATTTCATTCTCTTTCCGCAAAGGATTTTGATTTAACGAACGAACGTAGTTATACGTATAGAACTCGTGCAGCCTCGCACCGCCAGGCCATTCCTATCATATTAATTTACAGGGTTTCGAGTCCGGGTAAAGCGTGAGCACAATTAATTACCCGCAGAGAGCTTTCAGCTCGTTTGCCGTGCGAGATGAGTTACCGTTCGTTCTCTACTTTTTATTCTTAAACTCCTACGCGAAACTGTCCCATCCGCTTGATCCGCATTTCTCCAGAACCAGCCTCGGCAGCCATCAACATCGCCAACATTAATTCGAACGTCAAGATCGTTTCACTGTCCGCCATGACTACGTGAGTCAAGACAGGAAATAACCCGGTACAAACGAAAACTAAAGTTCAAGTAGAGAACCGACGTGAGAACGAACATACACCGCAAGTGCACACAGTGTCTACCGGGTGACTCAAGAGTAAGAATATCATCTGAGATAGGTAATATAACGAAGATAAAAATTTTTCAGATAATTAAGTAAAACAAAATGGAAGAACGCAGAGGACAAGTATATCATCATGGCGGGAAAATGGTAATTTCTACAACTCATCGGGCATGAGGACATTCTAACCTCGAAGAATCTCGTGCATCGCAACTGTCATTGCTAAACGGACTGATAAAATACATCGCGTGCATCGTTCCGACGTCCTACACAAGACTTCTTACCGGCAGCCACAGTACGTACTTTTTACTACTTTTTAGTAGTTTTAATATCTCCGCCATTTATACACGGATAACGTTCACGCCCCTTATGATATCACGGGCTCCGTAATACCGCGTCGCAGCCCAACCAAGATCAATATCGATGATCGGATCATTGATTTATAAGACACTTCAAGATTGGTATCTCATGCTCGTCTACCCGTCTGTCGCGATCCAGCCAATTTATGTAGCACGCGACGTTCTGCATTCGCTACGCGGCTTCTGGTTATGCCGGTGCCACTGGGACGTCTTCAAATGCATTTTTTTTTCAAATTGACGTCGCATTATGCTACTATGGTGCGAAGCTACTTGTAAACGCATACCTATATATATGTACTGCATTCTACTGCAACACGCATACTGCGCATTTCTGACTCATACGTATTTCTTACAAATATCCTATAATGAGATATACAATTTATACTTTAGACGAACGACGAGTTATGCTATAGGGTGTTACAGAAAAAAACAACTTTGGCTGTATTAAGTATTATGAAGAACGTCGGGGTTGGATTCTGGCCCGAGTTATTCTGTCGGACTTGGATAACCCAAGAGGTCACTCTGGAAAGGAAGATGGCGGATTTTATAGGTAGTTACATACAGAAGATTCCATTGGACTCCTCCAGTTCATGCATTTAAAGAAAAATTCGGGATAATTAACGTCGTCCGTACATGTAAGCTGTATAGGTATGTCTACAGACGTCGTGGTAAGGCATTGGTGAATGAGATAAAAAAAGGAGAAATAAGAAGAAGGAAACAGAGAGGATAAATTTATAACGCACGTTTATGTCAAAAGTACGGGGCCGCGTACATCTATTTACTGTCAGAAGACAGTTACTGGGAAAATTTATCGTTTCGTTGGTGGGCACTCCACGCCAATGGGTAGAGCTTTCCATAAATTCATTTCAGCTGTAAATTGCAAGCGTTATTGAAGTCCTGCTAAATGAGAACCGCTTCCATATTAGGCTTGCTGTACGATCTCAAAGCGGTGCGATACGTTAAGCCTCAGATTTTAGACTCATTCGCAAGTACTGAGCTTTCCCTAATGACCCCAGCTGCCAGCTGCTTTCGGTGGAAATATTCATATTCATATGTATAAAAAAGTAAAGTAAAATTTCTACGTATAAATCATTGTACATATGCACGACGAAGACCTTGCAAATAGAAATAGGATCAACGTAACAAATATTCTTCATAGATAACATAGCCGGGACAAATTTTCCACAGTAAAGTCGTATAATAACTCCACTGTTTAGCTAAGGGGCAATGGGTACCAAAAAAAGACATAACCTAAAACAAAAGAATATCGCGAATGCGCGTAACAGTTTCCACGTGTCCATTTTTCATACGCGTGATACGAATTGTAAATCTTGCTCGAGAGATGCAACGCGATGAGAGGAGAGACTGGCAAAACCGCAGTACCCACTCTCGGTAAATCAACACTAAGCCCACGTTCTTTCTTTTTTCAGTGGTTCTCAATATCTGTAACGAGCTTCGATGGGTATTAGATATCCTGTGACTAGTTGGATCTGTTTAATCTAGTATTATGAGGTATGACAGTATACCGTCTGGGATGCAGAATGAAATTTTCTTATGTTGATACAGGACAGTTGGAAGATATAATTATCAGGCGCTGAGGCAATGGCGTTGCATAGAGTTAATTCTAGACTTTATGCGAAAAGACAATGCAATGTCTGCGTTTATGCAATATTAAATACGATTCCTTGATGAAACAGAAAAGCTAAATAAATACCGTAATAGGAGTAAGGGGTGAATAATTTTTTATTACAGGGAAAAATGATCCCGTGCAAGTAATGTAATTAATAGTATTAATACGAGTAAAACTGGTGAACGATAAGAAGGATTGCTCTAGCTTCGTTCGAAAGCTGTTCCGTGATCGAAATAACGCGTGAAACAAGGGAGAGAACCAAAAAAGGAGTGGATGGTTTTCGTTCGCAATCAATCCGACAACGGATTGCCTTTTAATTTATATCATCGCGTCTTAAGTGACTCATTTAATGGGCTTTGAAATTTATAAGCCACCGCATCGTGTATGTGGGCGATTATTTATGGTGATTGGTCGAAATGCTCAAATTCAATAATGAATTTGATTTCGACACATTGCCTGTACCGGCGAGCTTTCGCCAATCAGGTATTGATTAGTAAATTTATGTAACAGGTGTCGGTGATTAAAAACGATCGCTATCTCGAAATAACTGTATTGAATGAAATCGGTCGGAAATCGTATAAGCATATCGGAGCCATAATTATTTATATTAATTATCATGAGTTATTCGAGCATTATAAAAAGAAAATCATCATCGACTCTCAAATTAGTTGGTTGCCACATGTTCATTTTATGGATAAATTTCAAAATAATTTGAATTCCACAGATTCTCCAATGATCTCACGTATACTTGTATATACTATATATATAGTATACCAAAAATTGATAGCGGTAATTCAATGGAAGGATACGTCACATTTCTTCCACCTACAATATTGTCTGTCGGCGGCCATCTTTTACCCAACGTTGTTATTATATACACCCGACAATTTTATGTTTTGTAAGCGACCTTATTAAAAGTAACGAGCACGATCGTATCGTGCGCCGTAATAAAATATTCCGCTCAGATCTGAGCGCGAGTGTAATTTCGCGTTAAAGCAGCCTAGAACAAAATATGCACACCGGACGGTCTGCAGGAACGTTGAAACTCGAGGCGTAACGTTTCACGAAGTTTTTGTAAATAGAGCAAAAAATATTTTTAAAGGTTTCGCAATCTATTGTACCACAATAACAAGACAGAATAAAGAAGAAGAGCTGTTTCGCCACGCCTGGTTATTTCCAACGTCAAACTTATAATTAACCACAGATCATTTTACGAGTTTTCATTTCGTTCTTAATTCCTAGTGGTTGCCCACGAAGGAACCTCCCACCGATCCTCCGCCTTTAGATACGGTCCTAGGGCTGCCTTGTTCTCCAAGATGAAACTTCTCCGTGACAAAAAGTTAAATGCACCAAGTTCCTCGGTAGCTAGACGTAATTATAGATTTGTGTAAAAAACGATAAAACAAGGAAACAGGATCTGCGTCTGCGTCGTTGATCTGTATTTTTGAAATTTACAGACCGCTTTATATTTCACGATATTCTCGTGCACTGTCATACTGTATATTGCTATGACCAAGAAAGGCACTTACGAAATCGAGATTTATCTGAGCCAACTTTAGCTTCGGGTTAAATAGTCACTCTCTGGTATCAACATTAGTCAGTGACTATCTGCTAGCAGTTAGTTTTCAACGGTCCGCTAGACTTTATCTATACAGTAAACAATAGGTATACGCAGATATTATATACGGAACAGGTACCTTTGCGAGGTCATTGAACAATCGTTATATTCTCACAGTCACGGTAAATCGAGCTGAAGGATTAATGTTCCTCGATACAAGATTTACCAGTTACGAATAGTCACTGAAACATGGTAGCACTAGCCCCGTACCTTAATTTCCAACATAATAGCCTATCAAGATTTTCCATATAAAGCTAAGCTACCTTGGATAAGTATAACAGATACAGAAAATCTTTAGAATGACAGAACAATGAGGGCTGGATTGGTCCACGTATATAATCATGGAAGGAATCGTTTGATAATTATCCAACCTCTACGAGTCTAACGATTTCCATCATATTGTGTTCCAGCTTAGAACAGGAGAACCCTTAATGACCACGTGGGCTTTTATACGTAGAACAAACACAGGAGACTCTCGGAACTCCGACCGGTAGGATGCTGTCTAATCAATTACAATGAAGAAGATATCTGATTGTAAAATACGAGCTAATCCCAACTAAAAGAAGACGCCACGTCCCGAGCAACCGGGTTATCATTAACGCACTCCACAGGCGTCTAACCTGAATACCATAAAATTCATAAGAGACTCGTACAAGTCTGTCCTGACATGTTCACCCGGTAGATACTGTTACCGACAACAGGTGAATGATAATCAGCTTGGAGTAGGTAAGGCAAGCCCCATTCAACGAGAAGGCACTGACGCTCGCAGACCTGTCATCGGACCTTGGAACTTCTCAAGCAAGTCCTTAACAAGTCTGCAGGACCCTCGCCGCAGCAGCTCGTAATTCAATCTGTTTATCGAGCCGCGTACTTTATCAGGGTCGT